ATGATTCAACAACCGCTCATAGCGAGTGTGTGGTGTGGGTGGTGCAAACTAGGAAAGGATTTATCTCATATTTATCCAATTATTTATTATAATCATTTATTATTTATACAAAGGTGCCAAACTCATTGAGGAAAGAAGGTATACGACCTTTATACTTATAGTTATGATATAACATTTGAAATCCTAATAGTAATAGTAATAATCATATGTTTGTGCAAGCTCTGTTTTAGTGTTTACCTCTGTTTGCCCAATCTCAAGATTGGTTGCCCAAACTGTGGATGCGCTGAAATTCCAAGTTTGTGCAAGATTCCAAGTTTGGGCACAACACTGACAGTGCCACACCCTCTGATTCAGTGATTGATCTTCGACGACTTCGTTTAACATTTATATATTATACTTACCCTTCGCTGTACACCTCTGGACAAACAGAGTAGTTATCTGTGAGTCAGAGAGGAACTTCTTCATGTCATCTTGGTGAATCTTATCTCCTAGAGCGTTAGCTAGGGAAACTGGAACGTCGTCGGCTTCTTCCAATAAAACCGGGACCACTCTTTTTAGGTATTTTACCAACTTATTTAAGTCGGCAACAACAACTTGGGTTTCAGGCGGCTGCCCACCACCTGGGTCACTTGTGTCAGCCATCGGACAAATATAGATTTCACTTCGGTATGAGACCTACGACGCAAGAAAAGAAGACTTTTACACTCAAAATGACAAAACAGTTTCAGTGACAAATCTCGCCCTGACTCGCTGGCAGAACATACGGGCAATTTCGATCATGTACTGGCAGTGCTGCCACCTAATGGACTGAAATGGCGGCAGATACAACGCTCGTAAATTACCGTCGTTAAAAATATTGCATAGCTGAGAAATGGGGATTAAAAAGAATCAACCTTTTGTAAATTCGTTCTTAGTAGTTGGTGAGAAAACAAGACAAGCAATCAATGGTATGATTTATTTTAAGTGTTACGAATCGGGATGTGAAAAAATAGACACGACCCACGACACGACTCACGAGGTCCAAATTCCCAATGGCAATGATAAATCATGGCTGCTGCCATGGCACAGGCACTTTTTGGAACGTTTTAATAATAAAATGATGGTAAATAAACACGGAATGTATTTACTACCAAAGTGTTAATGTTTCTCTATTTTCTTTCGCCTAGTATTTCTGATAATTTCCTGTAAATGCCGTTCAAATGCCACTCTGACTCTGGTACTGCCACAGCAGCCACACACATTTCACTAGATACAATAATGTAACCCAAACCCAAGAGGATAGATCCTAGAGGGAGAAGAGAGAAGAGAGCCCCTATCCTCTTGGGTTTGGGTTACATTATTGTATCTAACATTTTACTAGTCCGAGATTCCTCTGACGTGGCCATTGGTCACAGGAATCTCGGACTAACATTTCACCTGATCCTC